GACAGAGTGGGGAGGGGTCGAGGGGGGGGATGAATGTCAGCTCGTGACTGCACAGGAACAGAGTACCGTACCGTACCGTACTGTACAGCACTGCAGTTGAGGAATGGGAACGGGGCAGCGAAAGCGCTCTCGTCTGAACAATAGCGGGCGAGATAGGTAATGGGAAAGTCGAGTGGCCAGCGGGGGGCCTAACAAGCGGGAGAATTAAAAAATAAAACTGGGCTGGCCCGATTGTCGAGCTCCTGGCTGGCGGTTGCGTGTGTGCGTGCAGCGTGACCGTTCGAGGGCGTGCGCTAAAAGAGCCGGCGTTCCTCGAGCACGTTGCAGCAGCGAAAGGGCGGATGCACCCGCAGGCCGGGGGGGTGGTTTAGCTGGGGGGAGGTACGTAGGTGCCCGCGGTGGTGGTGAGTGACGCGGGCGGGGCGGCAGGGTGGTTGCTCGACTGACTGACTGACCGACAGACAGGCTGGCGGATGGACGGGAAGAAGACGAAAAGGTTGAGAGTGTATGCCCCAGGTCGGCGGGGAGTATTACGCAGCGGTACCTGATCGGCCTGCCTGGTTGGTGTACAAGTGACGAACTGCGGGAGAGGGAGGAACCAGGACGGTTGGGAAAGTGGATGCTGCTGAGTGTGGTTGAGGAACGAGGAACGTGAAGGGGCAGGCAAAAATGCCGTCGTTTCGTTCGTTCGCTCGCCTATTTGGTCGCCGGGGACTGGCACTGGATGAGGAAACGAACGAGGACACTGCATGCGAGAGCCCTGCTTGATGGAGGTTAGGCAAGGCAAGGCAAGGTAATAATTCTTCCAGGCAGGACCCGACCCGGCCTCAGGTCGAGATGCGACGCCTCACGTGGCCGCGATTCGTTTCGCTTCCCCCTTCCCACCTCCCCCCAAGCTGCCTACCTATTATGTACGTGCCCTCTTCTCCTCCACTCAGGCGACGATTGCCGCCACCGACGCTGATGCCGCTGGCGCTGCACTGGCGGTCTATGTGCGTATGTCCATCCGCTGGCGATCCGGTTGGCTCCAAGTGATTGGAGCTGGCAAGGTGCGTGACCACACCTCACCTCATCATCCATCAATTGAAGCTCTCTCTCTCGGCTTGCCAGCCCACTCACTCACGTTTGCCGCCCGTTGTTGACTGCTGATTGCCCGACAAGCGAGAGTCACCATCATAATACTGGCAGGGAGTCACTCTCCTAAGTAGGCATAGTAGTCTGTACATATGCGTTGTCTTGGAAAGATTCCCTGTGTTCTCTGTATCATGGGTCGATTCGACCTTGCTGCAGCTGCCACACAGACAGGGACCTCGTCGTCCTGCACGAACTCCCCTTACACCAAGTCCGCCGCTGCACCCACGCATCGGCGCACGCGCACGCACGCACGCACGCACGCAACCTCACACGCACCGCACGCCGCGCTCAGGCCAGCCAGCTAGATAGTTACTTGCTACCTTATTACGCAGGACCTTGGTACTGAGGCAGCCAGCCCGCGGCACCGTCAGCGCCCAGCATCCAGCCCGCGGGTGCATGCGATGCAATGCAATTCTTCAAACAAAAATGTACCTATGCATCAGCAAGCAAGCAGGTACGCGCTCGCGCTCCCCGCTCCCTCCGAGGCAGGCCCTGGCATCCCCTGTCAACCCTCGCAGTGCGGACCAGCCGTAGCCGCCGCCGGCGCCGCCGCCGAGGAGGGCATGAATCGAGTATTGCATGAACAACACAAGAGGCCAAAGGCATGGCCTTTCGTGGGCCTGTATCTGTCTCTCCTGTACGACGCAACCTAGACATCGGATTCGCGAGGCGAACGGGCCCAGGTGGCGGGTGGGATGTGAGCTGATGCCCGCGACGCCAGAGAGGCCCGACCCGTTCGTTTCGTCCCCGTGTCCTTTCTCGCTGGCCCCCGTAACCGCCGCCGCCGCCGGCCCGTCCGCCCAGCGCCCCCCAAGGCGGGTACTCTGTACCAGATGCCGCCTCGAATGTTACCAAGATGCATACTCGTAGCTTTCCCTCCGCAGCGTCACCGCCTTTGCTGGCCTGAGAGTTGCGCTTCGCTTGCGAACGGATTGGTACGAGTGAGAGAAGCTCTACCTGGGCATCTTGGGCGTCATGGGGGTCACGATGGTGGTGAGTGGTGACGCTGTCATCAGCCGACAAAGCGTTCCCGGTTGTTGGCGGGAAGTGATCTGCCCGCCGCATGGCCGGCCGATGACGCGGTGCCTGAGACCGAAAGCGCCAAACAGACAAGAGATGAAAAATGACTACTATGTCCCGTCGCTTTGGTGAAGCGCCCCCATACAACGCGTGTGTCCCGCAGGCTCAGGCAGGCAGGTTGCCAACGAGACCCGGCGCATCGTTAAGGGTAGGCAGTACTCAGGAGGGCCGCGACAAGGCCGTGACGCTGTGCACGCTGCGGGCGACGACAGCCTCCCCGGACGCTCGACGGCCGTGCATACGAAGGGCGGGGAGGGGGCCGAGGGTACACTACAGTACAAGGAAGCAAGCAGGCAACCAAGAACCTTTCTGTTGAGCAACGGCCGTCTTGCCTCCTCGGGACTTCCGCGCGTTGTCGTGTCGTGAGGTGCTGTGCCCTGGCGGCGATATTTTCCCGCTGTCACCGCCCGCCTCGAGCTCGGCGTGCATGCGGGAGCGCCGAGCGAGTACCTACGCGTAGAATGTAGCGCTGTCAAATGTACCGGACGTACGTGCAGCGCCGTACCTGACAGTCATGGCTTGATTCTCGGACAATGTGTCTTGCACGGCGGCGTTACCACCCCCACACGACACACACGCACACACAGACACGCGCGCAGACACACGGATCCCTGCCATGGGCGCGTTTCGGAACCGGATGCAAGGACAAGTGCCGCACTCGGTGCCTGGATCGACGTACGGTTTTGTCGCGTCGACGTGTTGTAGTCATCATCGAGTCATCCGTGACGTGGCCCAGAATATTATTACTCCCAGGCCCTTAGGGGCTCGTCTTTCCAAGGCAGCTCGGTCTGAAGCTTGACTCACTGCCAGGGATCCGATGCTGGTCGACGACAACAACAAACGCAGTTGTCGGCATCCCCCTTTCCCGACCTTTTCCAGGGGCGATTCCAGTCACAGAAGGCAAAAGTTGGCCAAACCCGGCTTGCAGCTCGACATCTTCGCGTCGCCTCGCGGCAGGAGAGGATGTGGAGTCTGAAACGTAGCCCGAGACCATGCAACCCTTTTTTGGTGTTCCATTGCTAATCGACTGGTCTCTCTATGACCAAAGTTCGAATGTCGACGTCCATTTCGTCAACTCGTAGTGCAGGCACGCAAACCATGATGGATCCCCATACACCAGACCGAAATGCAAAGTCGAAATCTCCGCCGTCCGTCCCCAGCCTTCCGCGCTTCACCTTCTTAAACCTCGGCAATCTCCCTCAGTCGTCGCAGGGTGGATCGCATAGCGGCGGCAGCGGGGGTGCTGCATTGACAATGTTAGCTTCCTCGCCCGACCAGCAGCAACCGACCATGGCCTCCTTGTCGTAAATGCTCCGGAGACCAGATGTCGAGGGGGAGAGACGTACGCAACGATGTAGGCGCCGCCAGCGATGGTGCGCTTGCAGGACTTGCAGTTCCAGATGCCGGTGGAGTGGCGGCGGACGGTGGTCTTGCCGCAGAAGGTGCAGGTGTACTTGGCGTGCTGCGTAACCTCCATCTTCTTGACCTGCTTACGCAGGGAGGCACCGTAGCTGTGAAGGGAACCGACGTTAGTCTCTCGCAATTGCAATTTTGTGCCCGCCGGCTGCATCGGTCTTCGCTCTCGATCTCGCGGTCGGTTTCAACGGGTCTGCGTCTCAACGGCTCGAAGAAAGGCGGCAACGGCGGGCGGCATTTTGACAGCGGTTGGCCCTGCAATTCGTCTTCTTCGGCGAGCTTGCGAGCAGCGAAAATCGTTTCGGGATCGAGAGTCGAGCGCGATGCGAGCCGGGGGCGGGTTCGTGGACGAAAGTTTGACGACTTACCGAGTACCGTACTTGCCGCTGCGCAGGACGTTAGCAAAGGCTTCCAAAACGAAGTGTCGACGCTGTTATACGTACGTCACGCCGACCTTCTTCGTGCGCTTGGTCATCTTGGCTGATTTGTGTGGGAGGTTGTCGTGGGGGAAAAGGACGACAAGTTGGCGAGCGGGAGAGATTACTTTGCGGTTGCGGCTGCGTCCACCGAAAATGTGCTGGGGGAGGGCTGCGAATTGTGATTTTCCTTAGGGCAAGCACGTGAGTGCAGGGGGCTCTCAAGCGACCTTGGACCCCACACAGGCCCAAAAAATCCGCACAGTCGATGAGGATGGTCACATGATAATACACGTGACTGACAAGAGATGCTCCACACCCGGCCGGCCTCCAGGAGATCGGATCAAGGCGATTTCAATCCGTCCGCAGTGGGCATGAAACAGGCAGGGATCTAGTCTAGCGCGGACCGGTTTGGCGGCCGCTGCGCGAGCCCGCACCTCCTCCGCAGCTGCGACTGGGTGGCGAGCAACGGCGTTGGCATCCCGGAACGGAAAGCGTCGACCGCGATGCCTCGGCCGGCGAAGCGGACAAATGGCAAACCGCTGGTCCTCCGGGGCTTCAATGGGCTCGAGCGCCCGGGAGGCGATCAGACAGACGAGAGTCAGGCGATGCTTGGAGCAAGCTCCGCGCCGATGGCGCAGACGGCACGCAGCTTAAAAACAGGGCCCTAGACGCGACATTAGTATGCGAGGCGAGGTCAATTGGTCATTGCTCTGTGCTACTAATAACACTTCGTTACTTATCAGTGCAAGTGCGACGGGCTACTCTGCTCCCGCCCCTGCCCCGTCATCCAAGCATTGTCTTTGTTAGCTCTCTGCCTCGACTTGCCTCGTACATCAACTGCGCTGCCCATTGATTCCATTCTGCCCGCCCACCATGCCGTTCAAGCAGCACGGCCGTCAGTACGACCTCGTCGTGCTGGGTGCCACCGGTACGCCGAGCCTGCCTGACCCCATTGTGACATGGAGCATGCGTGTCTGAATTGTAAAGCTCACGATGAGGTCATGCAGGCTATACCGGCCGGTTCGTAGCCGAGCACGTTGCTGGCCATCTCCCGACGAACCTCAAATGGGCCGTTGCCGGACGCTCAGAGGCGAAGCTTCAGGCCATCATCGAAGAGTGTGCCAAGATCAATGCGGACAGGCTTCCACCGAGTATGTTGAGAGACTCTCACCCACCTCGCAGCTGGGTCCCTCTGACTTGGGCTAATCCGCGACGCCAGGCATTGAGATTGCCAATGTCGACAGCGTGGCCGAGCTGCAAGCCCTCGCAGAGAAGGCCTTTGTCGTCATCACCACTGTCGGCCCGTACTGCATGTACGGCGAAAAGGTGTTCAAGGCATGCGCTGACTCGGGCACCCACTATCTGGACTGCACCGGCGAGACGCCGTGGGTGGCCCGCATGATCAGGCGATATGAGGAAACGGCACGCAGCACCGGGGCCATCATGCTTCCCCAGACTGGCGTCGAGTCGGCGCCCCCCGACCTGTGTACGTGGGCGCTCGCCCGCTTCCTGCGGGCCAAGCTCGACGCGCCCACGAGCGACGTCGTCATCTCCCTTCACAACCTCAGCTCTGCCCCTTCGGGTGGCACTCTCGCCACCGTCCTGAGCATCTTTGACTACTTTTCCCTCGACGAGCTGCGCGCTTCGAGCAAGCCTTACGCCTCGTCCCCCATCCCGCACCCGGAGAAGGCTCGGCCGACCCCGACCCTGCTGCAGAGATGGTTGGGCGTGTGTAACGTTCCCAACCTCGGCGTGCTAACCACGTCCATCGCCGGCCGCACCGACGTCCCCGTCGTGGAGCGCTCATGGGGCCTGCTGTCCCAGATTCCCTCTCGCAAAGACCAATTCTACGGGCCTCGGTTCAACTGGGTTGAGTACTACAAGCCGCGCAACTGGCTGCACGGTATCCTTGTACACTTGGGGCTTGTATTTGGCACCGCGATGCTCGCCCTCTTCCCGCCCGTGCGTACCTTGGTGAAAAGATTTGTTTACCAGCCGGGTGAGGGCCGGACCAAAGAGGAGATGGCCAAGGAGGAGATCGAATACCGCGGCGTCGCCACGCCGGACACGCCGACTGCGGCAGGCAAGCAGGCGTACTGCAGAGCCTGGTTCCACGGCAGCATGTACTACCGTAAGCTGCCCAATCTGCCCAATCACACCCTCTCACCTTGGAAAGGTACTGACTGTGTCGGCAGTAACGGCCGTGTTCCTGGCGCAAGGAGCGCTGACACTGTTGGAGGACGACGTCGAGCTCGAAGGTGGAGTATACACGCCGGCTTGCCTTGGGCAAGGCTTCGTCGACCGCGCCAACACGGCGGGCTTCAAGATCGATGTCAAGATGATTCAAAACTAAGCCTCGATAGCGCGGGCAATAATCTACGTAATGCCTCAGGAATCTGTCATGGTTTGGTCGCTCTCGGGGATGTCCCTGATTCTCTCGCAAATGTCGTGAATGGTGCCCCAGATTCGTTCCCGGTTTTTGAGCCCCAAAAAATCGTCCCAATTGGTGACGATATCCCGATATAGCTGGTACCAGTTGGTCTTGTCATGTGGCAGCGCTATCGGGCCCGCGGCTTTCCTCCTGGCGTATGCCTCGTCGAGCATCTTCTTCGATTCGGGCCCGCCATGCCACGGTGGCACTTCAGGTGTAGCCGCCAAGTACGCGGCGTGAGCATCCATGTCGACGTCCTCGAGGTCGCGAGCCTTGATGAACCGCCGTGTCCGCCATTCTTCCTCTTCGAGACGGATCTTCTGCAGTAATTGCACGTCCTGACAGGCCCAGTCATAAGGCGTCGCGTCGTCACGCCATGCCTCGTACAGGAAGGGCATGTCATCAACCAGGAGCCTGTGCCAGAGCGAGATGGGGAGGTGCTCAAAGGCCCGTGACGATGCACGCATGGCGGCGATGTCTCGAGAACCAAGGTAGCCGACAACCTTGTGAACAAGCTCCGCGGGGAGCCTGTGGAAGGGGTCTGAGGAGGCAGTCGCATTGGGCTTGCGTTGACGGGCCTCGAAGGGGCTTTGTCGCACGTCGAAGCCCTCGCCCTGGTTCATTGCGTGTTCACAGATTTCCCGGAACCCCGGCACGAAGAGCGGGTTGGCAACGAGATACTCTGTCCCAGGCGAATGCTCCCACACCTGGGACCTGCAGCTGAAGACGTCGTCTGCCCAGTCGCAGAAGGTCTCAACCTCGCGCTTGCAGGAGAGGTTGCGCAGCCGGACGAGGCCGTCGGCGTCGACCTTGCCCAGGACGGCGTCGCTGACGACGGTGAAGATTTCGAAGCAGGCGGGATGAAAGGCAACGCCCGACTCACGTTGGTCTTCTTCCGTCTGAACATCCGTGACCGTTAGTATGGGGCAACGCTATAATGCGACAAATGTCTGATTCGGACCATCCTCACCTCTATCCAGACGTTGTCGTCGTTGTCCGTCTTGCCCTCGGCGAAACCATGCCGAGCAGGCGTAAACTTGAGGTCGCAGCCCCCAGACGGTACGTTTCCGGCCAGGCCCGAGAGGCAGTACCGAGAAGTGGCCTCGAACGGCATGTCATCAGGCCGCGGCTCCCAGTCGTCGGGCTTGACGTACAGGCACTGGGCAGTGAGGCAGTCCGTCATTTGCTCCACGGATATGTTATGGCCGTTGTAGCAGTTGGTGTGCTGGCAATCGGGCCCGGCAACGTGCTCGTACTCGGCTCGTTTCTCGCGGCGTATGCGCTGCTGCTCCCTTACGGCCTGCCAGTCCTTCTCCTCAACTTCGTCCTCCTCGTTGTCTTCCAGGTAGTCAATGGTGGAGAGCGGGAGGAACTCCGTGTCGAATGTGGGCGGCGGGGGGCCGTGGACGGAAAACGTCCACTGACTCTCGGGGCTGTCATATTCCTCCATAACGTCTCCATCGACCGCGCCGTCATCTCCGCCGACGCTCGATCCCGAGCCGTACTCCAGGGGGTCCTCGTCGGTCTCACTACGCGGCGGCTCGTACGTTGGGTCCTCCTCACGGACGCCCCCCTCCGGGTCGTCTTCGTACAGGCCCTGGGCCGCGGACTGCCCCTGCTTGAGCTGCCAAGGCAGGAGCCCGCGATGGACGAGGCAACAGCTGCGGTCACCGTCGCGTGGGCAGTCATAATAGCTGTTGTACGGCACCCAGCTAAACTCGTCCCGCGTCGAGGCCGACGAGTCTGCCCAGGCGGCGGACCGGGGCTCGTTGCGGGTCCTGAAGCGGCTGATGTTGAAGCTCACGCCGCAAAGCTGGCAGTAGATCTACATCCTGCGTGAGTCCCCCTCGAAGTGAGTCGTACGGGGCGTGGTCTGGGTGCTGACCGACCTCGTAATAGCCTAGGCGATGTCAGTGCGTCGACGGACTAGGGGCAGACACGAGTTTCTGGAGGACTGCCTACCCATAGCTATCCAAAAGAACTCTTTGAATGGTCAACTCAATTGAGACGCCAAAGCGGAAGCAATGTCAGGTTTCAGCTTTGTGAGTCCTGAGGTTGAAGTGTTGAGGCGGCTGTGAGGTCGTGAAGTCGGCTTAACGATGAGCCGACTTACGGCAGGGACGCTGGATCAACCACGGATGTGGGCACGACGACGCTGCCGCTGTCTCTTCTCACAACTCTTCGAGCTCTCCATCTTTCTCCTGGAGACTCGTCCTTGAGATTTATTCAACAATCATCTTGGTGGGAGGCCAACCCTGTGCAGGATCGATCTCATACGACTTCCCCAGTCGTTGCTCCACGAGCGCGGCAGCCTGGCAGCTTGCGCGCCGTTTCGAGCTCCTGCTCTCCGGGCACGCCTCGCGCACCTTTTTGAGATGAATACAAGCAAGGCACAAGCCGTCTCGCGTCCTTCTCCGTGCACACAGCGAGACTCGTCATTGATCGACCCGCGCCATGGGCCTGAAAAGCTCGTGCGTTATGCGTTCTGATGGAATATCGTCTTGCGCAGGCGCGACAACAACTCCGCCTCTGCCATTCGGAGGAGCGTGACAGCCATGCGATCGCCGCTGCGGCTTCGGGCCGCAACCCGTCTGGACATGCTCCATCAGCTTTCGGCACCCGGCATGGCACGACGAGTGTTCGTGTGCGTTCACCCTCGACAACGACCTCATGGCCTGAAGCCAATTACGTACAGGGCCTCCCCGAGAGCTGAGACTGAGCAATGACGCTTCCTTTGCAAGGCACCTTCTCAAAACGGAACACTAAGTGGTTTGAGGCCGTCGTCTCGTGAGTGTTGTGGTGGCTTCTCACAGAGGGATCCTCCGGGGTCTATCATGTACCTGCACCACGGCTTACCCTCACACCGTCACGGGTCGTGGCCATCTCCGTACATCTGGGCTCTGCTTGCCCGAAACGAGACGCGCGCTCCTCAAGTTACTAGCTCCCTGACGGCGATCCCACAAGTCAGATCTGCTAGTGCGGATGACTGCCACATCCGTCGTGGTCGGCGGCGAGGACCTTTCTGCATCGAGCAGGTCAGAGGACTCCCGAATCTGGCAGCCATCTCAAGTTGGAATGAGCACGGCCGGACACTTGCCTCGACGGCATGGGCGTAAAGCGCCTTGCTCAGCGCCATCTGATGCCGTCGAGCGCCGGTCTTGGTCTTTAGCCTGCTCCAGAGCCCGCCGATATATCCGCGATGCCTTGGGCGGCGAGCTGGACGCCGGGCACCTGCAATATTTGGCATGGCTTGGCCTCCGACTTTCGGCTTGCGATGGCAGAGACTCGTGTCATGGCTTCGGTGCGAGGACTGACCTCAGTATTTGGACTCTTGTGGGCGACGTATAAAGCCAACGAAGGGCCGGGCTGGGTAGAAGAGGAGCATCACAGCCTGAGACCAGAAAGGGCCGCTTCCTCGGTACAGCGTAGCCGTTCACATCCGTATATGCACCCCTGAACAAGATCCATCTACACCATGAAGCCGTCCTCGGCCCTTGCCCTCGGCGCCCTCGCCACCGGCGTCTCCGGGGCCCCCTCCCACGACACGTCCGGGGCCCGCCTCTCCCCGCGGCAGACCGTCCAGAACGCCTGGGGCGGCGCCGTGCAGGAAGGCCAGGGCTGGTACTACGTCACGGGCACCGTCACGATCCCGCAGGTCGGCGGGCAGTCGGCCTCGGCCGCGGCGTCTGCCTGGGTGGGCATCGACGGATGGAGCTGCCAAAACGCCATCCTGCAGACGGGCGTCAACTTCTACGGCGACGGCTCGCTCGCGACGTGGTACGAGTGGTGGCCCGACGCCAGCGCCTACTACGACACGCGCATCGACCTCGCCGCGGGCGACCGCCTCCGCATGAGCGTCTACGCCTCGTCGTCGACCTCGGGCAACGTCACCATCGAGAACCTCTCCAACGGCCAGTCGCAGTCGCACGTCTTCCAGGGCGAGGGCCGCACGCTCTGCGCCTCCGACGCCGAGTGGGTGGTCGAGGACTTTGGCAGCGACTACAACGGCAACCACGTCCCATTTGTCAACTTTGGCTCCGTCGAGTTCACCGACGCTGTCGCCACGGGCCCTAACGGCAACGTCACCCCCCAGGGTGCCAACATTGTCAACGTCGAGATTGATGGCGTCTACCACACCGACTGTGGCTCCAACGCCAATGGCGTTCTCTGCAAGTATGTCTGATATATGTACATAATATACTTGTAGGATCCTCAAGCTTCGGGGCCGGCGGTCTAGGGGAGCTCGGGTGGCCGCTGGGCGAGGATGGGCTTCAAGGTCGGATGACGACGACAGGGCGTGTCTTTCGTCAGAGATACCATCGTGTTCTGGGCACATCTGTACATGAGTAGCGCGTGGGGGCGGAGCATGCGTTAAAATCTCTTTAGATGTACACCTCAGGCCGCGAGCCTCTCTCTGTACTGTAATATGTCATTATCCAACCTTCGCCTGTGCCCATGTACAAACCATGTATTCCCCGACTATAGTTACGTGTGCCTGCGCCAGACGCCCTGACCTTTTGCAAGATGTTATCAAGTCACCGCTATTAACCTTCGCCCGCATAGAGATCCACCACAATATTGACGGCAGCCACCACAATCTCCATGGCAATCAGCACAATCACTGCGGGGCACAAGTCAGCTCATATGCACGCGCACGCCCAGCGCTTGGCCAAGGGGGGAGGAACAAGGACTCACCGATCCACTCCAGCTTCTCCCCGTGACCGTGGCTCAGCTGGTCTTTGAGCACGGCCAACAGATCCGCAATTACGTCCAGTCGCTCCGTCAACAAGCCCACGCGCTGGTCCATCTCGAGATAGCTGCGCACGGCTTGGTAGACCGGCTCCAGCTGCGGCTCGACCCAGAAAAGCTCAGGCGTGTCGAGCACGGAGCCGTTAAGGTGAATGTTAATGCGGAGGATGAAGAGCTCGCCAATCTGCATGTTGATCTGCGAGCGGCTGAGGTCGATTTTGCCCGTGAGCGCAATCTGCGTCGGAATGTCCTTGCACGTATCAATGGTCGACGCAATAAGCTCTTCGAATAACGACGTCTGTAAGTAGAAAGGGAACCAATGTCAGCTACGTGAGACTAGTCAGTTTCGGTGTGAGGGGGGCGCCTACCTTGACGCTCTGCGCGAGGGCGTGGGATATAGCCAGCTTCGTCATGTAGTTGTTCCTATCACGCAGCGTGATGAAGTCGTTGTATATCCGCGCTTGGTACTCGCGTGTGTAGTAAAAGTTGAAGTGTTCCGTCTCGACATCGTCGGGCGCCAGTTTCTCGAGCTCGAACTTGGCGATGTCCTTCAGAAAACGTGCCTCTTGCGCCTCCGTCATGCCCCAAATAACGACGACGCCGTAGTCGAAGAGAAATACCTCGGGGGTGTGCACTTGGGTGTCAAAGTCGGGGATGCCTTCGGCAACGGGCATGTCATCGGTGACACTGGGGCCCAGTAGCTCGTCGCTGTTGAGCTGGCCGACGTCGGCGTCGTTGCCGCCGCCCGAGAACTCATCGCCGTAGCCCGAATCGTGCCGGGCATCCTGCTGTAGGCTCGTGCGCACCTCCTCCGCTTCAAAGGTCTCGCCGCCGGTCGAGTGCCGCCGCTCATAGTTCCGCACGGGGTTGTCCCTCTTGGCCGCGCCATAGGCGTAGGGGGTGTAGATGCACTCGTCGATGAGCTTGGGGTTGGCGCCGCGCGTCTTTCCGCGGCCCTTGAGGAAGCGCATGAGGCTTTCCATCTCGTACCGGTTCGCGGTGCAGTAGGCTGTGACGCGGGGTAGGCGGGTGCGATCCCCCTTGCCGAGGCGGGCGGCGTCTCTCCTGGCCGTGGGGTCCTTGATGCGCGTGTACTGCGAGTAGACGTCGCGGCCACTCTCCTCGTCCTCGCCATCCTCGATGTCCGGGTTGGGCAGCAGCTTCAACTTCTCCGTCTTCTTGGTGCTCCGCTGCGGCCCGATCTTGGCGCCGACGGGATGGAGGGCGCTCGGGACGGCGCTGTGGCTGTTGCGACGACGGAGCTTGCTGTTCAGTGCGGCAAGTACGGGAGGCCCTGCAGCGCCGATACTGGAGCCGCTGGCAAGGGCACCGCTTCCCGCGAGCGCATGACCGCTGGCGCTGACGGGCGCGGCATGTTGAGTTCGGTCAGAGTGGGCGAGCTGCGAGTCGGGCTCAAATGTCCTCGTCACAGGGTCGGCGCTGAAGGTGACTGTTCGGGGCCCTCGCGGACGGCCGTCGGCGGAGAGATTTTGCGCGAGCGCGGCGGTCGGTAGCAGGGGCGTGTTCTCGTCGGACGGTCTCGTGTCCATGGCGGGCAACGTGGAGCTTGCTGTCTAGGTTGTCGCTGGACCTGTGCCGGGGCGAGCTCGATGAGGGTTGATTATCGTCGTAAATTGAATCAACGCATCGGTTCCATGCGTGTGATGGATGAGGCTGGGGACCTCGATCGGATTGCTCGTGTGTGGCTCCCCGCGTGCGCAGGGGAGGGAGGGGGTCAATTGACGGGCAAGATTTTCGAGCAGTGACGACGAGAAAGATGGACTGAGGTGAGGTTATGATTGACGTGATGACGGAGGTTAGTGGAAGGTCTCTCCCCGATTAGGCCTGGGCCGGCTTTTGCCATCCATGGATGATCCTTCTGGCGTGTCCGGCCAGCCTGTGGGGACCCACCCGACTGGTCACTGGCCAGGTGCTCGATGCACCGCTGAGGTGCTCCAGCGCTGCATTATGCACCCGCGAGGAGCCGCTGTGGGGGCCATCTCGGTACACGGGAATCGCTAAAACACTGACGGGATCTCTGCCGCCGGGCGCGCTATCCGGGCAAGCAAGCTTCCAATGAACTTCTAGGTAGTTAGTAGCAAGCTTGGGCACGGAGCACAGCACGCCAGCCTGGGTCGCCGCTCAGAGGCACCAACCCATCGTTTCCCATCACGGCTGGGTACGACTGCTCTGTGAGTTGTTGGCTCCTCAAAGCATCTATCCCCTCCAATGCGCGATGCATCTTGCCTGCCGCTACTGCCGGGGAGAGAAAGATGGGACGAGACGGCCAGCATACAGCGTCAGATCGCCAGGTGCTGCCGCTTCGTATCCGTTCGTTTGTATGCGCACCGCACACGTCTTCTCCTCCTCCACTCGACTGTCAGAACGGAGCACGCCGTACACAGTATATAGTCGCGCGACGACGAGGTCAGGTTGCCCATGTCGGCCCAATCGGCATCCATGCGCAACACAACCCAACTGAGTAATCGACATGCCCACAGGGATCTCGTGTTCCTGCTCCCGTCCCTGGTTGTGTAACCGCGATCAAAGTGCCGTTGCATACCTCCTCCGTCGGCTGACCCAGATGGGTTTGCTGCCTCTTACACTTTGAACGTGAAGCTGCCATGTCCATCGCCGACCCGAAGCCGGGGCCCGCGTGTAGCCAAGCCATACTGACCACGCCCAGCGGTGTTGGTGACTCTAGGTATCCAGAAGCAGCCCCAGGCTCGACGACTGCCGCCCGCCCGCCTGTCAGCAAAACACGCTGCTAATGACCTGCAGAGTGGCGCGAGAGACGACGGACGAGAGAGAGAGAGAGAGAGAGAGAGCGCGAGAATGCGCGCCCTTGGCAGACCCACCACCCTCTCTTCCTCATGTCCAATATGGAATCACCAAATTGCCATTACTCACTCGCAACGACCCCGTCATCGGCCCTCCGCGGCGCCCACAAGTGCCAGACCATGCACGACACAGGCTCGTTTGCCCTTCCGCCCTCCGAGCTGCCGCGAAGCTCGGCCCCCGAGCGGCCTGGCCAGCACGGGCTACGAACCGGGAGCACAGAATTGGTAATGCCGCTCCGGGCAAGAAAGATTGGAACTGCAGCGCGCGCAGCGCCCAACAGCGTGGCGTTTGGCCTTGGCCTCCGGTCCTTCGTCTCGTCTCGTCTCGTCGCCGGTGTTGAGTACAATTCCATTGGTGTTTCGCCCCCAACTGACCGCCCAACCGCGCCCTTTCCTGCGGGAATATGCGGAAGGATGGAAACACTCTTCGCGCTTTCCGAAACATGACATGATGCGATATGTCTATGAAAAATGTACTACTGCCTGGACGGCACGGACACTCGGTGACTCTTTCCTTTCTCAGTCGCAGCAAGGGCGTGCTCGGCCACACCTGCTGCATTTGATGTTCGTTGCTCTCGTTGCTCGTTACTCGTCACTCGTCACATCACTCATGGCCTGAATCCTCCCCTACGCGAGTCGTTTGCTCGCTTCTTTTATACGCGTTCCGCCCTCCCAGCTCACTCTAACTCGGCAGGCTTTCCCATTGTCATTCTTACCCGTTGCCTGCCGCCCACGAGCGAGCTCCTGTCCTTTGAACAAACTTACGTTTCCTTGATCCTTAGACGTTGTAGACGCACCAACCGCGGCCATGTTCTTTCCCGCCGCCCACGAAGAAAAGGACATCCCCGTCCTACAACGCCTCATCCGCGAGTACCCTCTGGGCGTCATCACAACTGCCATCCCCTCGGAGGAGCACCCTCTCATCCTCTCCAGCCACATACCTTGGGTCCTCGACGTCGATGCCGAGTCCAATGGCAAGGACCTGGGCCGCCTGCGGGGCCACATCGCCCGCCAGAACCCCCAGAGCAAGGCCATGATGGACGCCGCGGGACCCAGCAACGGGATCGGCGGCCAGGCCCTCGAGCAAGAGGTGCTCGTCCTCTTCACCGCCGCGCCTCACCACTATGTCACCCCCAAGTGGTACGTCGAGACCAAGCCCGTTACCGCCAAGGTCGTCCCCACGTGGAACTACGCTGCCGTGCAGGCCTACGGCAAGGCCACCATCTACTTCGACACGGCCGCCGACGAGACGTCGCGCTTCCTTGGCCGCCAGATGCACGACCTCTCGCAGCACACCGAGACGTCCATCATGGACTACACCGGCAAGGAGGACCGCCCGGGCCCCTGGATGGTCGCCGAGGCTCCGGAGCGATATATTGAGCTCATGAAGAAGAACGTCATCGGCATCGAGATCGTCATTGACCGGCTCGAGGGCAAGTTCAAGATGAGCCAGGAAATGCGCATGGGTGATCGCATGGGCGTCGTTGACGGCTTTGCCCGCATGAATTCTGAACTCGGCAAGACCCTGGCCGACATTGTCAAGGAGCGCAGCGACCTCAAGGAGGCTGCCAAGGCGTAGCCTGGGAATGGACCGGAAGAAAGACACCGCGTAGAGCATAGATTCCTTAATCAAGACGTACAACGCGTGGATGCTGGCCCGTATTCGGATTCTTGGGCACTGTTCCGTCAATGCTCCCCAAACGTACCATCAAGCTCTTGTCGTGGTCCCCGCCTCATGACCACCTACATGGCTTTTAGGTAACCATCGACTACGCGAGGGGAAACTACTGTCCCCTTTGCAACACCCATCAGGAGCCAGATCGCTTGCGCAGAAAAACATACGTGATAGCATTACGTCCCGTTCCGTGGCCTCAAGTAAACGCCGAGCCCAATCCCGTACCACTTAGCCTACAACACCCCCAGCCGCCGTCTATTCGTCACCATCCTTGTCCATCTGGGTCTCTTGGTCCTCCGTGTCGTAGTTGGCCATCTCTACATCTTCGTCTTGGGTATCGGGCTTACCGTCGCCGTCGCCGTCGCCCTCACCATCGCCCTCGCCCTCGCCTTCGCCCTCGCCCTCACCCTCACCTTCGCCCTCAACATCACCTTCGCCATCATTGTCGCCGTCGCCGTCGCCGTCACCGTCGACGTCCACGTCGGCATCACCCTTGTCCTCTTTCTTGCTCGAGTCCTCGGCGTCCTTAGAGTCCTCCTTCTCTAGCAACTCTCGAGACTGCTCCTTGGCCTTGGCCCGATATTCACTCTTAGCGTCATCGGGCAGCTCTTCCCAGTCCCGCGCAAGGTCCTCGTCGATATTCGCATCTCCGTCTTTGTTCTTGTCCTCGAGAATTGGGCGCTTCTCGGCGCTGTATACGTCAAAGGCGCTCACTGATTTCTTGGACGCCTTGGTCACGCCGTTAGCCGTAGACTTGCCGTCTTGGGCCTGGCTTTCGGGCGGATGGGACTGCGCCTCTGAGCCGGGAGATCCCGGTTCCTTGAAGGAACCCGCGGCACCGGCTTTGGTATCGGCATCGTTGACGGCGGACTTGCGGTGGCCTCTCTTAATGCGCAGAGGCTTGTCCTTGGGCTTCCGGGGGTTAGCATCCAGTTCGTGTCTAGACGCGGGCGGCTTGTTTTCATCAGAGCGAGGTTTCAACGGGTGGGCAGGCGCGGCGTTGCGCAAAGGGGGGAGCACCGCGGAGGCGCGAAGCGCTGCCCAAGAGTCGCTTAAGGGAGGAGAGGGAACTGGGACTGACATACCGTGGGCGGAGGACTCGGGCTGCCCTCGGAATCCTCGACGTTTGTGCTCGTGCGCTTGGCCAGCTGCTCAAGCAAGAATGCCCTCTCTATCCTCAGCTTCTCGACCTGGCGCTTTATCCGGGCGAGGCGCAGTCGGGCGGCGTCGTTGGCATCTTCGACTTCGTTCGTGCGGTTCTTGAGCTGGACGCATTTTCGGCGATAGGCCTCCTCCACCGAGGGAGGCAGGGACGGAGGCACGGCTGGCGCGGTTTCGACCTCAGCAAACTTCCTCTTGGGAGGCATAATGGCGGTTGACGGGCGAGGGGGGGGAGAGAGGGGAAAACGATGCCAGGGGGCGAGAGTACGATGCGGTGGTGATGGCTTGTCACGCTCAGGACCGGACGAAGCCGCCTCAAGCACACTGCATTGCGTCGTACAAGTAGGGGATAATGCCAGGTACAAGTGCGAGGCGCGACAGGCAAGAAAGACAGAGAGGCAGTGAGGAAGGCGGCGGACAGGTATGCAAGGGAGGTTGGAACTCACCAGACTGGGGCGCCATTGTGACTGAGGCGCCAAACACCACCAAACTCTAAGGAAGGGTCCCCTCGGGGAGCCGACGATGACGGGGGCACGCTGGTGGACGGTGCGAACGACGCAATTGACAGCGGTGACGGAGGGAATCGAGCGTCGCGGCGTCGAGGAGCGCCGCTCGATTGGTCGCTTGGGGCGGAAAGGAGGAGGGAGGGGGGCGCGCGGCGAGGATGGTGGGAGATGCAAAAGGTGACGGGAAGGAAGAAGTCGGGCGGCGCGAGACACGACGGGACGCTCGCTCGAGGCGCTGGGGCTTAGTGCAACGAGGCTGCGGCTGCTGATGGTGTTGGTGGTGGTGGGTAGTGGCAGGCGTGGACACCGCACGGTAGGTGGTCTGGTAGTTAGGTGGTTGCTCACAAGTCGCACCAGCGGACAGCTGCGGCTGCTGCTGCGCTAAAAAGCTCCATCGCAGGGCAGCCCTCTGGGCGTTGAATAAGGTGTGGAAATTCACCTACCTGGTAGGCACACAGCTCCCGGCACCGCGTGCTGATACAGTGCCCAGGGGTCTCACAACGTCCTCGCCACAAAGACACCGGCCGATGCGTCCACAAAAATGGTCGCCCGCAACGCACACAGGAAGACCAGAGGTCTATACTCGAATCCCAGTCTCCTTGATAACGTGCAACAAGTACCAAATTGTACCAAACAGCCGAAAGTCTCACCGAGTGCATCTTTTGCCAAGCTCCCCCTCAGGTGCGCCCGGCACTTAAAGACTTGCCTCAGGTAGTGGCTGAGATGGGTGCACGCACAGTGCTGGACTGGTGCTGAATCGGATTACCTAAGGCAACTGGAGCCCAGATCCCCAGCAGCGTCTGATTGGCCTGGCGCGCGACCTCCATCCCTCCTGGCGCAGGCTCCCACTACCTAGGTACCTGGACGGCGTGAGACGGAGAGAACCTGGAACGGCCCCAAGATTTTCCAGCGACTGGGTCCCCGCCGCGCGCGCCTGACGAAGCTGCCCGTTGGCGTTGGAATTTGGAAATCACAGAGAACCCCACGACCGCAACCGCAACCCTCATCGACGCAGCCTAGGATCGAGCTCTCACGCACACGACTGCCCGCGAGCTCCCTCCTCTCGTCATGTCTCTCAACATCCCCAACGCCCCCAGCTCGGGCCTCTTCAAGCAGGGCTACAACAAGTAAGTCTGCCCCTCGTGCCCACGCAGCCTCGCCCATCAACCCCCTACGAGCTCCTTGGTCCCCCCACCACGAAGCCCTCACGAGCAAGTCCCCTGACAACGCTTCCCCGCCATGCAGCTACGACTCTGAAGATGGCGCCGTCCTCCGCAACATCGACGCCTGCAGGGCCATTGCCTCGACCGTCCAGACGTCGCTCGGCCCCTACGGCCGCAACAAGGTCGTCATCAACCACCTCCAGAAGATGATCCTCACCTCCGACGCCGCCACCATCCTCCGCGAGCTCGATGTTGTCCACCCCGCCGCCAAGCTCCTCGTCATGGCCAGCCAGCAGCAAGAGTCTGAGATGGGAGATGCCACAAACCTTGTCATCGTCCTCGCCGGCGAGCTGCTGCGCAAGGCCGAGGACCTGCTCCGTATGGGCCTCAAGACCTCGGACATCGTCATCGGCTACGAGAAGGCACAGAAGTTTGCTCTCGAGACCCTCGAGAAGCTCGCTGTCGACAAGGTAGAGGATATCCGCGACCAGGAGGAGCTCAGCAAGGCTATCCGTACCGTCGTCGCCAGCAAGCAAAACGGCAACGAGGACTTCCTCGCCGACCTCGTCGCCGAAGCCGTCCTCGCCGTCCTTCCCAAGAACCCTGCCAACTTCAACGTCGACAACATTCGCGTCGTCAAGATCATGGGAGGCAGCCTTGAGCAGAGCCGAGTCGTCAAGGGAATGGTCTTCCCCAAGGAGCCCGATGGTGCTGTCAAGAAGGCCCGTCGCGCCAAGGTCGGTGTCTACACCTGCCCCATCGACGTCACTCAGACCGAGACCAAGGGCACGGTGCTGCTGCACAACGCCAAGGAGATGATGGATTTCACCAAGGGAGAGGAGGCCCAGCTGGAGACGGCTGTCAAAGAACTCTACGATTCCGGCCTCCGCGTCGTCGTCTGCGGCGACAAGATCGGCGACCTGGCCATGCACTACCTGAACCGCTTCGGCATCCTGGCCATCCGCATTCTCAGCAAGTTCGAGCTGCGCAGGGTCTGCCGCGTGGTCGGCGCGACTCCCCTCGCCCGGCTGGGTGCGCCCATGCCTGACGAGATGGGCAGCATCGACGTTGTGGAGACGCTGGAGATTGGCGGTGACCGCGTCACCGTCTTCCGACAAGAGGACGAGGTCACCAGGACCGCCACCCTCGTCCTCCGTGGTGCTACCCAGAACCACCTCGACGATATTGAGCGAGCCGTCGATGACGGCGTCAACGTCGTCAAGGCCATCACAAGAGACCCCCGTCTCGTCCCCGGTGCCGGCGCTACCGAGATTCAGCTCAGTGCCCGGATACAGGCGCAGGGAGAGAAGACATCCGGCCTCAGCCAGTACGCCATAAAGAAATACGGCGAGGCGTTTGAGGTGATTCCTAGGACCCTGGCTGAGAGCTGCGGCCTCGATGCCACTGAGGTTCTGAGCCGGTTATATGCTGCCCACCACAAGGGCGAGGACGGCGATACTGGCGTTGACGTCGAGGTACGTCGTTGCAACATCCGAAATGACGATGGCTTGTCTTTTGATGCTAACCATGTCATAGAACAACAACAACGACGGCATCCTGGACGCCACTGAGGAGGGCATTCTTGACCTGCTCGCCTCCAAGCTTTGGGCCATCAAGCTCGCTACCGAGGCCGCCCGCACAGTCCTGTCGGTTGACCAGATCATCGTCGCACGACAGGCTGGCGGCCCCAAGCCCCCGGGGCCTAACCCTGTAAGTTGATGTCCTCCCACTTGTCGTCTGACCCTTGTACTGACGCTGCGCTTGTAGAACTGGGATGAGGACTAGGCGGGTGCCAGCGGACACCAAACAAGTGCTATGGGGAGGTCAAGGTCTCGCCGTGGGCTAGCCGCAGAGGAGCCCGGCATGATTAGATACCCCCTGGTCGCTGTTCATGGTTGATTGGACAGGTACGAGTAGTCACGGGTTGCATTGTAAAAACTGGGAGAGACGGAGTGACAAAAGTACATGATAGAATAGTGGCTCTTAAGTCGGGCTGTTCAATCACGCAGGCAGCAGCACTTAAACCTGATCTGAATCCTTTCTTCGTTTCTGACTTTGAAGCAGTGAAGTACGTTACATATTAGACTCTTAAAACGTCACACACATCTAACCGAGTGGTTGGCGAGACCTTGGAGTCCCCTTCCACCCGGCACCGTCCCAAGCCAGCCGCCGATAATGATACATGGAAAATCGTTCCCAGGAGTGGGCTGACAAGACCCTGCCTGCTTCCACCAGGGCGAGGGTCCGGATATCTCCAAACCAAAGAAAAGAATTGCTATCCAAGAAGAAAGCGAGACCAAGAGTCCCCCTCGGAAAGTCCTCCTGTCCAGCCGGGGGAAAAAAAATAGGCGGCCATTCCAGAAAGTAGGAAGTAGGAAAATGACAAGGGACTTTTTACCTTATATCAGAGAGGCCGCAGCCAGCTCCCACAGCCGTAACATCATGTCTCTCTACCAGGTCAGATGACCCCCCTCGACAAAGAAAACCAAAGCCGGTAAAAGAGAGCAACCGAACTGTTGGAAAGTACGCCCACCGGGTATATATATGTCTGGGCCAGGATGACAAAAAAGATGCAAGATGTAGGACGCGTTGAGGCCGACCCAAGCACGCCTCCTCCACATTGGACATGAGTACCGATTTGCTCGAAAGAACGTGTGGCCATATAGCCAGCCACGGGTAGGGCGATACGTGTTCTTAGAGGACCTGAAGAAACAGGAGGACCTAGAACGCGGCGTGGCACGTGTTGGAACTCTAAGCCTCCTCCATGATGCCGCCCTCGCCGCATTCCTCGCGCCACTCGCGGGACTTGTCCGCAAGTCGTTTGATGCCGCCGACGCGACCAGCCCAGAGGCTCTCGATTGGGGTCCGGAACGTGAAAGCACGCTGCGAGCTGATGACGCCGATGGCTTGAAGGACGGCCTTTCGGCTGTCACGGCCAAAGACAGCTGGGTGGCTAATCCACTCTAAGCTGCTCTCAAGCTCCGCGTCCAGAGCAGCCACGGTTCCAGGGTCGATTCCGGTCCCAAGACCTAAACCATCATTGGACCTGCTGCGACCCAGTTGCGTGTTTTGATACCCATTGCCCCCGGATGAGGTGGCAGATGTAGGTGGTGAGGGGCTTCGCTTCCGATCAGGAGTCCCAGAGGAGTTCGGCGAATGCTCATTGCCCGGGTGCGGAGTTGTTGGCCCCGACTTGCTGGCCGAGGGAGGAACAGGAGGCAGACCGCCCTTCCCGAGGCCCTTCAGAATAGATCTGGTCTCATTCAAAAGAGTGTGGGCCCTGTCATGCTGACCCCGGCTCACCAGGGTCAAAGCTCTGGTGAGCATGTCGGATGTGAGCAATTCCATGCGCCGCTGAACGATACTCGGGTGAGGAGGAATCGGCGGCGAGTTTTGCCAGGACTTCTTCTGGCTCGCGTTGGCAGGCAGCATCGTGATGGCAAGAAGCGAGGGTCGCGGCATATGGCTGACGGTGCCTTCCCGGAGAATGTCGCCCCAGCTCAGGTCGGCCTGGATCAGCGGCACCTCTTCCACAGAAGCAACCCTTTCTGTGTCATTGTCCATTGAGCCGCTGAGTGCCTCGAGGCCTGAGACTATGTTGTCCCAAGGATCTTGCGGCAACTGCTCCTGGGACGAGTTGTCGGGCATAATGACGAGCTGAACAAGAATGTCACGCTTGTCTCCGAAGCGCAGGTCCCCAAGACTAGCCTCGGCATCCCGGCCGGTAGCTCTCTTTGTGATTTGCAGAGCACCACTGATCTTGTGAAACTTGGCCGGTGACCCTTCAGGCAGCTTCAGCTTGAGCTTCACGTTCTGGTGCGAAAGAGTCTGCATTCCTCCGAGACAGCCCGCCAAGCACTCTCGAAGCATCATCCAGTCCTTGACATATGTGTATGACGCCTTGGTCCTCGTCGAGAGTTCGATCATGGTATCCGGCTTGTGGGTCATTCCGAGGCCAAAAGAATGGATGGTGATTTTGGCCGCCTCGGCTCGCGAAACGACAAAGTCCACAGAGTCAGCATCGGCCGTAGATGCATCACTAATCAGCATGATTGTAGCGATTGGGTTGTTGTGCTTGCGCTGCATCAGCAGATCCATCGCCACGTTGGCTCCCTCGACCACATCAGCCCGGTGGCTCTTCTGGCCCACCGGCTTAATCGATGTCAGAATGTTTGACCAACCAGGCCAGGCTTTGGTGGTCATGCCAACAATTGGGACTCCGCCGCCACCAGATCCGAATGTGACGAGGCCCATGCGATCTCTCTCGCCCAAGGTGTTGACCATAAACTTGAGGGCATCGCGAACCAAATTTATCTTGACTCCCTGCATGGATGACGAGATGGGGACCACGACGACGACATCGATGGGTACGTGAATCGAGTTTTGGATTTGCGGCGCCTTTGCTGCGAAATTGGTATACTCTGTCGGCGCTGTGGTTGCAGATTTCGGACCCCAGGACGACGTGGTCGAGGAGACTCTTTGCGGGCGAGACCGTTGCCACTCGGCTTCTTCATCCGTCTCGGACATGTCCCCGCGGTCGTAGTCCGGGCTGCGAATGGGCGCCTCCTCGACGGCGTTCAGGTCTAGCAGAGCCTGGTTCCACAGTTTGAGCTGGTTGCGGTTCTCGAACCGCAGATGGAACTGGGGCAGCTCGGCAACAGAGAGACTCAGGGTCAAGACGTTCTCATCAATGGTACCCGTCTCCGAGACCTCGTTCAGATGCTTCTTGATAAGAATGGAGCCCTTGAGCGTGCACCGAGTCGACTTCCGCGGAGCACCGTTATCGTCCCAATGCGGTGCCGTTTGAGGTGGCAGCTTCTTTTCTTTAACGCAGATGAGCATCTCGGCAAAGAGGTAGCATTCCAGCTCTTGCCACGATACTTTGTCTTTGCCAACTCGAAGCGTGCCATAAAGTCTCAGTTGACCAAACCTGCAATCCGTCAGTATCTCGGTGGACGGGACTGCGCGGGAGCCTTACCTGCTAAAGTCCAAGCCATGCCAGTTGTCGACGCGGTTTCGGAGGCTCTCGGTCATCTCCTCGAGCGCCTCGGGAGACTCGTACGGGTAAAAACGTGGGGCACTGGGCGCGGGGGTTACGGCTCGCGCAGCCACCTCGTCAATGCGCGCATTGACTGAGGGCGCTCTGTGCGATTGGCCTCCAATGTCCTCTGGGTCTGGCTTCCACTTGTTGCCGGCTACCTCAACTGTGACCAAGCACGTGAGGGTCTGTTGTTGGCGCGATCGATTGATTGTAGGGAACTCGGATCGAACCGTAACGATGGGAGATGGTATCGGGTTACGCGCGACACCCTTAGGGCTTCCAGGCGTCGTTTCCATCGCCTGGACATCGTAGTCGTGCCGCCACTGCGGGCCGCTCTGCGTCGTCTCCGGGTATCCGCTAGACGAGGCGACGCCAGTTGCCTCACTGTCGCTTCGTGCGTGTCTTGAGGAACCGTGGCGGTCGGAGGGAGCCTCACGGCTGTCCCGCACACTCCCGCGCGCCATACTGTCGCGGCCATTGCTGCTGGGTTGCTGCGACTGGTGGCGCCTTTGTGAACTCTCGACGCTCGGGGGCCTCACCGTCTGGTTGTCCCACGTTGGCGTTGGAGTGTGCGTCGAGCGCGTGTCGCTTGCATTGCCTGTGCCAGCGGTACGCACAATGTTGCTGATCTTGTCTACCCCCGAATTAGTAGCCACCCCCAAGCTCTTCGCTCTGTTGGATGACGAACTGATGTCGATGACATTGCCTCCTCGGCTCGTATCGAGATGCAGTGGCGCGTCGCAGGTAGGACAATATTGTGCTTCGAGTTCGCGAATGAATTCGTAGAAGCATGCCTCGTGTGAAACATGCGAGCACGAGAACTGCAGGATGCGCTCGCCGCGAAGAGTATGCTCGAGGGGTTCCTCGCAAACGGCGCATTCACTGCCGACAAACGTTCGTTCGCGCCGCAAACGACTCCTGTCGGCGGTGCTCGCCATGACGTTGTTGTCAAGCCCCCCGACTCGACGGGCGACAGAACTCGCGGTTGATCTCGTTGAGCCTACAGACGAGCCACGAAAGCCAGATGGGAAATGGTTGCCTAGGGGGTAGCGCGTTAGCGCTGAGAAGGTGGGAGCAATAGGCTCTCCCGAAAGGCAAACGCCTCGCCTGGCCGCTAGCAGAGTGAAGAGAAGAGGACAAAGCAAAGCGGCGCTTTACCTGGTTGCAGGGAATCGTCAACCAGGGGCCTTGGTCGCGAGGCACCCTGGGGGTTGAGGATGCTCAATTCAGCGAGTCGCGATGCGAGGTCGGAGCTCTGGTATCTCGGTTCGTGGGCGGCTGGGTTCGGAAAATTGCTTCGCTGACGATGACTTTTCCGAGACCGACTGAACATGGAGAGTCGCGCAAAAGAGTACCGGAGTAGAAGTTACCGCTGGTCGCCACAGTCGCGCTCGCTAAAGCACGCAATGCTCTTGATGAAGACAGCGCCAGAACCTGAGGCTCACAAATCAAGGCCTTCGGGTCTGAGTCTATGCTGGGCGCTTGGTGGGTCGACGTGGTTTGCGAAGCGGAGGGTTCGAGACGATGAGACGCGGACGTTTGGCAAATGATGCGGATGATGCGACAGAGAATATCGCGGGCTCGGTGAGGACTCAAGAGTTCGAGGTTGGTTGCAGGATGCAGTGTTTCAAAATCTCCCGTCTCGTTTTAACCGTGGTGGGCAACAGAGGGTAGACTTGAGCACATGGCCGTCAGGGCACGGGGTCCAGAGAATCGGATCTAGCGGGGACTATGGCTGGCTCTGAGCGCGAGGGAACGGTTGCGCCAAGGGGGGGTGTAGGGAGCGATCTCGGGTGGAGGGTCTGGCTCGTCGGCCTGCTAACAGCACTCGTTTGACCGGCGCAAAAGTCTCGCAGATGCGCCGCCGGCCGTAGGTAGGACGTGCGCAGGGGGTGGCTGGCACAGGCTCGGCAAGGAACCTTGGAAGGTATTGCAGGTCGTGCGTCAGGTCAGTTCGCGGATGACGTCCGGCAATGGGCCGCGACGATGAGCCTGTGCGGTAGAGTAGCGTGGGGTACGGTGTCGGCCGGCACTTCAGCTGTGCGTGGTTGCTGGCTGGCGTCGACGGAGAGGCTCCTTGCAGAAGCCGAAAAAGCAGGTATGGCGAGATGGTCGCAATTCAAGGATTGCTTCTGTGGCGTGGCTTGCGCGCCTTCTTATTTTCTCCGTCTTCCTCGTCGAGCGACAGGCTCTTCAGGGTTCGCTGGGTCACCGGGCAAGTGAGCTGTCGTTTCGTTCTGGGACGGGCAGCCACTGGGCGGTGGGCGTGGCGGGCGTGGCGGGCGTGGTCGTCGTGGTCGTGGTAGCAGTTGCTTGGGGGCTGTAATTCGCTGGTATCACCCGAGACACGGGGGATTGAAATGGGGTCCGTTGGGCGGCGTGGTTTGATTCGTCCCCCGTCGATGCGCGGAGCAAATGAAGGGCGACTGACCCAACACCGGCAGCAGAGGCAGGATGCCTGCTGCACGTCGTGCTGTGTACAAGCAAGAACCACGCGCCGTGCGGTGCTTGGGGGCGCAAACGCAGATGCAATCGCAAGGAGAGCAAGGAGAGGGAGGGGCGGGAGGAAGAGGAAGGAGGGGAGGCGAGACGTTAAAATGGAAACAGCGGGCGGGCTCCTGGCCTGGCTCCTGGCCGGGCTCTGGGTCGTCACAGGATTTGATGGCAGGCCAGGCAGATGGCAGGACGGGCGGCGGGTGTTTGGCTCGGTGGCCCTTTCCCGGCTTCTGCGCAGCAGGCCAATCTCTGTCTGCGGGCGACCAAGGGACCAGGGGCAAGGAAGGAAAGAAGGATGGAGGAAGGTTTGCTGTCGGGCAAGTGGGCGATTGCGCCAGACCTGGAAACCTGGGCGGGCGCGAGGAACTGGAACCGCCAGCAGCGCCTCAACGGGAGGCACGACGGCACTACCGAGTACTCGTGCTTCGTGGTTCGTTCTCGCTGTGATGGAGTCTAGTCCTGGTACCTTGCGGCCTCTGGGCGAGGTACGAAGTGACCTGAGGTAGCATCAGGTTCCCCTGCCTCCTGGAAGGTACAACGGCCAACCCTGCCTGCCTGCTCTTCGTTCTGGGTTATTACTTCCCTGCGAAACACCACCTACCTACCGGCCTGGAGGGGGAGCACGGATGGCAAGCACGAGTCGGGAGTAAGCACGCCAGCGAGTGCCCCTTCATGGGTACAGTGAGGTTGGACGGCACAACACGCAGCAACCACCACCACCCACAGTTGCAGGGCTGTCCGGCTTCCATTACTTCTTCAACCCAGAGAACCGCTGCCTGCACGAACACAGTGCAAGGAGATTGCCGCGCATTTTGTGAACTTTTACGAGGTACGGTTCTGCTCTCGCCCTCGATCAGTGGTACCGAACGGTCAACAAGGAGCCTCCCCTCCCCCTTTCAGCCCCATGCTTGCCCCCCAGCCACACACAGCTTGGAAGGCCTGACCCTGCCTCGCGTCGACGGTTGGCAATGGGCTTTCTCGAGTTCTCACGCCGCCTGCGGCTACCGACAACTTCGGCTAGGCCGCTTCTGTTCGCGCGGGCATCCGCCCACGAAGAGGCAAGGCCCCATGCCCCCTGGCTTGCCTGGCTCCATCCCATCCCATCCTTCCAGCCATCCATCCCATGTGTCACCGTTGTCGCGCTCCTCGGGGGACAGGCCGGCGACGTGGCTAAGGCATGGCATGCACGAGACGGGTCGATGAACAGCCAGCGCGGTGATGGCCCGCCCTTCCGATGGGCATGGGCCGCGGCGAGGTTCCTGCAGCGCCTGAGCCTGTGCCCGTTCCCCCGCCCAACACGGCCAACATGGCCGACACGGCCAACACGGCTGTTGCGAAGCGCCCCGGGCCAGTCCACGGCGTCGCGCGGGCCCGCCGCTGCAGCTCCGGCTTACGAGGGCTTCGTACAGGCGTAGGCGCACTGGGGCAATCGCCGCGAACAACTGCACATGGCCATTTCGCCGCAACTCAGCACCACGCGGGCGCACGGGACCACTCACTTTGGCTTGCTGCAGCGGCCCAGCGCGCGGGCCAGTTATCTTCAAGAGCCACAGAAGACCCCTGATCAGCGAGGGTCCTGGACCAGCAGCAAAGAGAAAATCTCCACCCCTGTGCTGCTGGCGCCAACAAACCTGTGGGGACGCTACTCTCCACCAGTCCAGGTACCACGCCCGACTCGTCCCGGAACCCAGGGCACGACCAGGGTCGGCGCGCTGTGCGGTCCTGGAGCAGCTGGGCATGGCTCGGCGGGGGCAGGAGGGACCACCTGCGCGCGAAGATCTTCTTTAACGGCTGTGGGCTGGGCTCTGGGATGCGTCCAACGAGTCATCGACATCTGTCACTGATCGAGCACGCGGTGCTCGTTGGTCTCGGACCGCCGCGCAGTCTGGCATCGAGGTGCTGGGACATTGGGGCCATCCGCTCAGCCTCCTCGCCGTTTCCTTCTCTTTCCTCGTAGGTGAGAAGGAGTGAAGAGGACTAAGCCTGATTCCATGCAGCCACGAGGAGACGACGCCGAGCCTGACTTGTCTTCTCACAAGCCATTTTACCGCGCCAGGCGAAGGGCCTCCGATGAAAAGGGCAAGGCGGGCTGCAACCACCTCGACGCAAACAAACGAGACGCACCCATGACTGTCCAAGACCTGCAGGAAGGGATCATTCACGCGGCGTTTGAGGGGGGTCAGCACTTTGAAACGGTGCGTCAAGCTTGCAGACATAGCGACCCGGATGGCGGGTGAACGCAGACGGATGATTTGGGCACGTCTTATTTTGATACTTGCACTCGTGCGTGCTCTACCTGGCACGGCGGTGCCAGTATCGATTATGCACAGGGTACAAGTTGGCCAGCATCACGTCACCTGCGTTCACCACTGCGGACAAAGCGAACCGCAGCCGCCGGTGCCGTGCCGGCAGAATGGCGGCATTAGTGAGTCGGGAGGCTGGGTGATCGACAATGGCGGGCGAGACGGGAAGCAAGGAGGAAGGTGACTCGCCCATGTTTATCACGATCATCCCTCCCGTCGATGCTTTTTTTCTTCTCTTTCGCCCGTTAGCCAGCGCAGGCAGGTGAGTTTCGGAGAACAAACTTTCAGGTCAAGGTACCGCCACGGCCCCCTGCTCCCGTGGAGCGTTGGGTCCTCGACTCCAAGCGACATCCACGCACCGCAGCATCGCCGTCAAGACATGCAGCAAACACAGACGCTCATGCAGGTCCATCCATGTCTGGCCACGATGATGCCAAAACGCCAAATGAGTAATGCGAGTCAACCAATTCACGGAGAAGTCTTTGATTAATTTACCCGGCTGTGCCTCAGGCCGAGGAGAAACATCGAGCCATGTCATCTTTTGGCATCTGCGCGTCGCACAATATCGGGTACCTAGGTACGGAGGACTTTGATCTGACCAAGCCGGTCGCTGGGACAAAGCGGCACCCCAGCTGCAACTTCGCGGGGAGAAACGGACGGACCGCGGAGACGATCTGCCGTGAATACGACCATGACTCCGCTTCAAATTGATTTTAATTGTGAGAGAGATTGATGAATGTCTTCTCGACAGTCAACTGCCCTTGTTTTGCATTTCCTCGCCTTCGCGCTACTCTCGGTAGAAGGAGGTAAGAGCTTCCATTCGCGATGCCGCGTTTTATACTTCTCGCTTGCTGGCCAGTCGTGCAACTCCTGTTGTGTTGGGCGCGGGTCTCATTCAGCCGTGCGGGTGGCACGTGGCAGCCCTGGTGGCGCTGCACACAGGACCGTGGAGCTCGCCGACCTGCCTGGGTCCCATAGTCCCAGCCAGGCATGAGGTGTCTCGAGGCTGCATGCTCGCATGCGGTGGGCGGTGAGGTTGCAGCTCGCAGTGCGAAACAAGTCGACGGTATCAAGGTCTGCGGCAGGAGCAATGGAAGTACGTAAGGACTTGTAGAGCTGTGAGCAATTGGTAGTCCTCG